CCAACCATTAAAAATTATTTCTTAAGTTTAGTGACACGAAGATTTTTGTAGTATATTTTAAGTGGACAGTTATGTAATGTTGAAGAAATATTGATCCTTTATATTTATAGCAGCATGATTCATAATAGCCTATAAGTGGATAAAAACCCAAATGACTATGAACAGATAAATACAAAAACAAAATGGGTATATACATACACAATAGAATATTATTCAGTCTTAAAAATCATGGAAATTCTGACAAAGGGTGTCTCATGGATAAACCTTGAGGACATTATGGTATGAAAGAAGCCAGTGACAAATGGAGATACACTATATAATTCCCCTTACTGAGGTACCTAGAGACATAGGATTTATAATCTTCCAGGCATAGGAAGAGAGGGGAATGGAGAATTTGTCTGAGTATAGTTTTCAGCTTTGCAGGATGAAAAGAAATCTGGAGATTGGTTGCCCAGAAGTGTGGGTGTATACTGCACACTACTGAACGGCACACTTAAAACTGTTTATAATGCACCATGTGTGTTAGCGCATGCCTGGAACTTGGGAGGTGGAGGCAGAAGGATCACAAGTTCAGGGCCAGCCTCAACAACTTAGCAAAACCTTATCTCAAAATATAATAAAAGAGCTGGCAATGTAGGTCAGTGGTAGAACTCTCCTGGTTTTAATCCCCAGTGCTGCAAATAATAATAATAATAATAATAATAATAATAATAATAATAATAATAATAATAAAATAAAAATAAGGTTTTTTAAAATTTTTCAAAATGGTTAGGATGATAAATTTTGTTTATTTTACCAGTGCCTGACCATGGATGACAAGATCATCATGATTGTGGAGAACTGGAAAGTTGGAAGTCAAGAGTCAAAATTATCTTGGGCTATCTGAGGCCTTTTATAGTCAATTACATTAACTCTGTATCTGACCTAACATTCTTGTGACTAGTAGGTCACAATAACTTCTCAGAATGGCCTAGGAGACCTCTAGCCTCCACCTACCCTAAGGCTAGAATGCTGTAACATCTGAAACCTGTAGAAGAGGCTTCCCCACCTTGCTATAACCCACCCACCTGACTTTCTCATCAATGTAACTGGTAAATGTATTGATTTATGACTTACTTTCATTCTGTAACTATGAAAGCTCATGTAACTTGTTCCACAGTGGGACATATCATTCAGATTAACTTGAATCTATGTTTTGAGGGACATGGCCACTCATGTGTGGTTTGGAACATACTATTTTCTTATTCCTGTTAACGTAGAGTCATTATTTTATGTCAACACAGTATGTCTTCTGAGCGTCCACCAGAATCGCCCATTAAGGTCCACTTACAACAGTCTAGGCTTTCTCTAGTCTGCTTCTCCAAACTATTCCAGACTTCTCCAAACCATTTCCAAAGGTTTCTGAAGCTCACAGTCAGGTATAGTCACAGCAACAACCCTGCCTCTCAGTACCCATTTTTTTTTTTTCTGAGTTAGCATTTCATTGCTGTGACAAAAATACCTGAGATAATCAACCTAAAAAGAGGAAAGATTTTATTTTAGCTCACAGTTTCAGAGCGCCATGGTTGGTTGGCACCGTCATTTTGGGCCTGAGGTGAGGCACGATTTTGGGGCCTGTGATAGGAGCACATGGTTCAGCAAAGCTGCTCTCCTTGGGGCAGAAAGAGAGCAGGAGGGCACACCTTCCCTTTCAAAGGTGCCCCTGTGACCTCACTTTCTTTTACCAGGCCCAACCTCTTAAAGGCTCCACTAGCTCCCAATGGAACCATCAGCTGGGGACCAGGCTTTAGGGGACATTTAAGATTTGAAGCATACCACTACCCAGTCTAAAATTGCAACCCTCCCTCTACTCCTCATTCATCTTTTCTGCATAATTTTTCTTTTAGCAGCTAACAGATTCTCGACATGCTTTTCTGTTTATTGACTGTCTCCCCTAGTCTCAGAAGATGGGCCGTTCCATGTGAAAAGACTGTTGTAGGTTTTCTATCCAGTTCCTAGTATATATTAGGTGCTCAATAAATATTTTTGGAATAAATAATTTTTTTAAAAGTTGATTTACACTTCCTTCCAGATAGGTGGAAGTCCATGTAACTGTCTGAGCAACTGTCATTTGACTGAACCTTATAAGCCACTCTTCATTTTTACTCAGCGAAGGTGGTCCTAGATGACCATCTTGCCTCCTGGGATTCTGCAGCAGCTTATTGGCTAGACAGCCTCCATTGTGAGGTAACTCTGTTTTTCTTCCTAGCCAGAGAGCTATGCACTGAGTCTGGGTCCACATCCAGGCACCAGAACCTCCAGTCAAATGGTACCTTCTTCCTCCTTGTCACCTTGTTCACTTTGCCCGACAGCCGGGAGGGCTAAACTGGGAGAGGCCAAAAGCCCAGGCAAGATTCCTGGCAGGTATCCAAGCAACTGCAAGAGGACTGAGCCTCATCCCGAGATGGAGCTCTTATAAATCTCCCCAGAGCCAGGTGGGCCTTCTCCGCCAACTGCTTCCCTGACTCACACGCTCAGTCTTCAGCCAGGGCCAGGCTCCCTCGGGAATTGGGAGCCAGCATCTCAGGTCTGTAGCTATGGCTTCTCCAGAGAAAAACCCATCAGAGGCCTATTCAAGACTGTTCTAGGACTAGACTCCCTGAGGCTCTGCCACCTAGCCACCATGTTGAAGAAGTCACTGCTTGGAAAGGACTACAACAATGAGCTGAACTTGGACAATGGGTCTAAGTCCCCCTCGAAGAGCAGCAGCAGCAGCAGCAACAGCAGCAGCTCAACCCCAGAAAATGCCCCTCCTGCTGAGGAAGACAACGCTCTCTCGTAAGTGGCCACACCCCCTTCCAGACCTTGGGGCAAGTGCTGCTTTGGCAGCTCTGGACCAACTTCTCCTACTTTTCTCTCCTTTACACACCTATCCTCCTGGAACAGGGGTGTCTAGGTGAAAGAGGAAACTCAGACACAGGGAATTTTTCTCTAAGACTTTTATTGCTAATCAGACTATTATCTTGTAACCAGATCAGATAAAAACCGTGAGCTATAATGATACTGTTATTTTAAGTGATAAGAACCAGCATTGATTAGAATACCATGTCTTTTAGGGAGAATTAAATTGAGTGCTAAGAACCAGCATTGATTAAATTCCATGTCTTTTAGGGAGAATTAAATTGGTGCTTTTTAGATGGCAATGTTTTATGTTAAATTTTAAAATGCCATTTGTATAAAATACACAAGTACTTTCTTGATGTATCCTATCTTTGAAAGTACACACATGTGACTACACACATGTACACACATAACTGGCAGCAGTAGCTGTCTCTGGGGAAGAGAATCGGGAGACTGAGAGACAGAGATAGGAGAGCGCTTCATATTTATTATACAGGTTTTTATTGTAATTTATTTTGTTTTAACTTTTTGGGCTACTACCTAGCTTTTTCATAAATATAATTAATGGACAATATCACTTCTAGAATTTTTTTCTAATGAAATCACAGACAGTATTCATGACCATTTTTATTGAAGCAATGATTACAATATTGAAAATCCAGAAGCAATAGGAATGGTTAAAATGCCAGGCAAGGTGGTGCATGCCTATAATCCCAGCGACTTGGGAGGCAGGGGCAGGAGAATCACGAGTTCAAATCCAGCCTCAGCAACAGCGAGGTACTAAGCAAATCAGTGAGACCTGTCTCTAAATAAAAAGTACAAAAAATAGGACTGGGGATGGGGGCTCAGTGTTCAAGTGCCCCTGAGTTAAATCCCCATTATCAAAAAAAATGGTTAAAGTATGGTGTAAACATATAATAGAATATAATACAGTCATTACAAGTTATGGAGGAGATCTCCAGACATGAAAAAAATGCGTAGCATGTAATATTCACAGAGAAAAGTATTTTAGGATCCAGTAAGTTCTCCTTGTAAAAATCTGTGTACTTTAAAGCAAGAAGGGGTGCCTAGAGGAAGGCTCATCATTATGTATGGTTATTTTCAATTGGTGGGATTTTGGAAGTTCCTTTTATATGGCAAGACATTATTTTTCAAGAAAAAATATAAAGTGTATTTAAAAAAAAATGTTCCAGGGAGCTTCTATCCCAACCCATGTTTACTCTCCAAGGTCTTGATGTGTACTGCTATTGTCTAAGGTACCATGGTTTCTCCAAAATGTCTCACCTTTCCCAGGTTTAAGTGAGGCAAGATGCCATCTGTCACAGGAACAGGGAAGAGATGGAGGGAGGAGGGCAGGAACTGGGAGAAAGTGCACATATTTTGGAAAAATTACAACAGAATTGACAGAAGAGAAAAAACTATTTACAGCTTTGACATATTTTCCAATAATCGCTATTATGGAGAAATAAGAGTTACCTATTGGAGTGAAGGGACGAAAGATGTTCTTAGGTACACAGACTGATTAACGAAAATGCAGGAAGTCAGAGCGGCTCTGTTCTCACCCCATGCCCTCCCAGTTGGTACAGAGACCTCGTAGCCCTTTGCCTGGGCTCCCTAATAGATGGGACAGAATCCAGGAGTCATGAGCACTGGGTGACCTTGGGTGGTTTCTCCATGCTCTTCTGATGGCCTCCTCCAGGTGCCCTCTCATACCAGGTCAAAGGGACATCTTTGTCTGCTTAAAACAGGCCTGTTTTCTTTTTCCTATTAGCCCAGCTCTGCTTCCTCTTGAAGGAGGCCCTTGTTGACAAGTAAGCACTGCCCAGGATGGTGATGGTCACCCCTGTAAAGCGCTTCAGGATTCCAAGATCCATCAGGTCTTCTGGTTCTTACAGTGCTCCTGGCACATAGGCAGATAAGGAAACAGGGGATTTCTGCAGCTAAGGGGCTTCCAAACTAGTAACTAAACACAGTAGGTGGACATCACAGCAGAACTCAGAGCCCAGGGCTCCTGCCTCTCAATCAAGGCCCCTGGAACCAATTCCCAACTTTTTTTGGGGGGGGCATCAAGGATTAAACTCTGGGGCTCTTAATCATTGAGACACATACACAGCCCTTTTTATGTTTTATTTTGAGACAGGGTTTCCCTGAGTTGCTTGGGGCCTTGCTAAGTTGCTAAAGCTGGTCTCAAACTTCTGATCCTTCTGCCTCAGCCTCCCCAGTCTCTATGATTACAAGAATGTGCCATCATACCTGGCACTCACTTCCTACTTAAGTTTGGTTTTGATTCTGTTCTCATGTTCCTCTTCCCACCTCTCTACCCTGATCCATATTAGGATTGGAGCTGCCTGGGCAGGAGCCCTGAGCACAGATGTCAAGAACATTTACAACCTTGGCGCCTTGCTGGCACCTGGTAAATACTCTGTAAGCACAGTAGTAATTGATATTAAAGTTTATCCACATCTGTACTGGGAGCTCAGTGGTTAAGAGCTCGCCTACCAAATGCAAGGCCCTGGGTTTGATTCCTAGCACCACAAAAACAAAATTATCCATATCCAATATGTAGCATGGATATATTATGTAGCAATCTGTGGATATATAAATTTCAATTAATTTTCACAGTGAATATTGATTGACTCAATGGATCAAGGAATGAACAAACTAGAATCAGTAAGCATACCATATGTGCTAGGGAATTATTGTGCTTTTTTTTCTAGTAAGTGAGTTAAAAATTACCTGGTGCAATAAATATTCTGTAAATAGGGGCTGTTTTTATGAATTCTTGTCTGTCTAGTGCTAGATGTATAGTAGATCTCAATAATAGAATGCTCTCCAGAATGACAGCAATTTGGGGTCATTTTTTTTTTCTTTAAAGCCTAGTGTGTGTTGAGCCACCTGAGCTAGCACCAGCTCTGGATCTGAGATATCACTGAGCTGTGGGTTGTCCTCTTCTCAACTGGCACCCCGGGAATGCTGGGCAGAGGCTGAGCTGGGCCGCCCTTCCCTTCCCCTGACATCTTCTTCTTTTCTCCTTTATTTCCCCCCACAGGCTGTTGCAAACCTTGGTCCACCTGTTGAAATGCAACGTTGGCACTGGGCTTCTGGGGCTTCCCCTGGCCATAAAAAATGCCGGCTTACTGGTAAGAGACAACTTTGGGTTGTGAACTGGTTGGTCCTTGGGGGTAAAGGGGACGTGTGCCTCTAAGGCTGTTGCACAGTTCATCAGTGAGTGAACTGGGGGTGTGCTCTATGACAGGAAATGCACCTATCAATCTCCTGGAGCCAAACTGAGCACCCCTGGAGGGGAAGGGACGCTACCCATAAGGTGCCGCCACACTCATTCAGACCCCACATTGCCCCTGTCTTCCCAGTCCCCAGGAGTATATCTCACCAGCAGCCAGGGCCCTGCAGGCATCTGAGTGTGTGACTTCTGTTTCAAACCATTTGAATGGTATAGGAGAAAGTGGCTTGACCATGAGGGCAAGGATGTCTCCCACTGCCCACACTGCCTTGCACTCCTTGACCTCTTGTTTCTGTCTTTGGAAATTTGCCTCCTTTCTAAAACTGTTCTGTTTATATGAATATTAATGCTGTCCTCGTGAATATTAATGCTGTCCTCATGAATATTAATGATATCGTTATGAATAGTAATGTTGTCCTCCTGAATATCAATACTGCCTTACCTCCTTTCCTGCTACACTTGTATCTGCCTCACCTGGAATTTTTAAAGCACTTACGGAGGTGAGACATATTTATTTTTTAATAGACCTATCTCCTGCACCTAACGGAAGGCTCTGAGGGCAAGAACTGTCTGATTTCCCTTTAGACCTTCTCTCAGTCCCCACTGTAGAGACTGTCACACAGGAAGCCCCAATTAATGCCTATTGAATTAAATTGATCCAAATATGTCATATCCATTTAGTTCAGGGAGATCTTCCTTCTCTCCAGGCCTGGTAAGTGGCCTCATGGCTAAAGAAGGCACAGTGAGACCCTTACTTCCTCATATAACTTCTGATATGTAGGGGTTCCAACCCAGAGGCGGAACTCTCCCCCTTGGGATCCTCTGGCTTCTTAGTCATCTGCAGAAGAGTAGCAAGACCACAGAACCTTCAGCAAAACTGCCCTTGCCAGTGTGGTATATGCTTTTTAAGATGGCTCTTTTATATAGTCGAGTTTTGCCTTCTAAGAGGAGTTAGATAATTTCTTTATTCTCTGTCTCCCTGCCCAGAACTCCTGACCAGGATCCAGTTGAGAAATGTTTATTGAGAGCTACTATGTGTATTCTTAGGCCCCAGGAATACAAAAATGAACAAGACAAGAAAGTTTCTGCCACATTCAGGCTACATTCTACTGTAGACTAGTGATGCTCTTTACCCCTCACTTGTTTCTTTGTGACAGATAATGTTATCTCATCAATAAAGGCAGGAGTATCCAGAATAAAGGAGGTGAGAGAGAGTCCTTCATTACTTTATGCCCTTCTGATCAGATCTGGAAGATTATGATCTTCCATCTGGAATATTGACAAAGTAGACACAGTAGAGCAACAATTTTCAAATGGGGACATTTTGTGAACCCCACCCTTATATTTGTCACCTAGACATTTTTGGTTGTTACAACCTGTAACTGTCACTGACACCTAATGGATAGAGGCTCAGGATGCTGGGCAATATCCTACAATGCACTGGACAGATCCTTAAAACAGTCAATAGGGCCCTTGTTGATAACCTCTCTACTAGAGGAAAAGAATTAAGTCACAAAAGGAACTTGTGAGGGCTAGACTGTGTAAAAGGTTGAAATCATCATAAGAGACTACAGCAGGGTGAAACTGGAGGCAGATGAGAAAGGCCTGGGTTGTATGGAGAGTGGTGAGATCTGGGTCACAGGTAGAATCCTAGCAGAGATTGAGCAGCCACTTTTTAGCGGTGTCAGGAGGGGCATTCAAAGCACAGCATCCAGGGGACAAGGACATCCATGCAGTGTCTCCCACTCTGGCAAGGAGCCCTAGTGCCCAAACTGAGAGAGGGCCAGGGTGTGGGCGTGGCCAGTTTGCCCATCAATCACCACCCGGGGCCTCTCCTCTCCCTTCAGGTTGGGCCCATCAGCCTGCTGGCCATCGGGATCCTCACAGTGCACTGCATGGTCATCTTGCTGAACTGCGCTCACCACCTCTCTCAGAGGTGGGTGCTGCTCCTCTCTCACCCCAGCACCAGGCCCCATCCACTGGGGTGTTGAGTTTCCTTTGACCACTGTCCAATAAGTAGGCCACTTCTCCAGGCCACCAAGCTGCTCTGGATCCAACAGAAATGGTGGAGGGGTGGGAAAGAATCCCAAGAAGAGACCCAACTCTGCTGCCGACCAGCTGGAAGGCTTGGTCAGTTTCCTGCACCCCTGTGAGCCCAAATCCCCTCACCTGGGAACATCAAAAGTGATAAAAGATGATAGAGCACTCCACAACGACCATGTGAGGCAAGCCACACAGTTGTCCTTCTGTTCCTTTTAATCTCCCCACCCCAATACCAAAACCTCATCAGGGTAATTTGTTCCAGGAGAACCCCTGTAAAGACAAGCCAGTAGACGCAAAGACGTAATTAGCCACCGAATGCATAGGGTACAACTTCAGTTATTGAAAGCACAGAGTGTGTCAAGGTGTATGGGTTTGAAATGAATGCAAAAACAACTTCAGAAAGAAAAGACAATAGCCACGAAAAAAAAATAATAATGCTGAGATCTGCAGAGTGTTCAAATCCAAAGCTTTACTTCTTACAGTAAATCTGTATAGTAGGTCTTATTTTTATTTCCATTTTATAGATAAGTAAATTGAGGCTTGCCCAGAGCCTTGCCCAGGGCCACACAACCAGGGGGTAGCAGAGCCAGTGTTGGAAGGCCTGTCTGATTCCATTCTTAACCATGTGGTCTTGAGCTTGCTGGGTCATTATGTTCCCAGGCTTCTGACGTTTTCTTGATGATTTCTCTTACATTTTTCTCTAATGCAGAGGCCCCCAGGAGGGTAGCCTAAGTGCTAGCTGTAAACTTCAGATATGTTTTGGGGGGACTTTCACAGTTTTTCTTTTCTAAGCCAATGTTTAAAAAATTAGAAATTTCATATTTAAGAAAACAAATAACAAGAAACTCATCTGCTTTCTTCTAATTAGTCAGATAATCTGGTATACTTCTGGGCCTCCGTTTCTTCCTTGTCCTTCTGGAGTGGAGTCCTGTGGATCCTGTTGAGAACTGGACACACACTTGCCGTGTAGCCACCTGACCTCACTACTCCCTATTCTTATGTCCTGTGCCACCTACTAAATCACTGATCCCTGTCTGATCCCCAACCTTCAGACTCGTATTTACCAGTCCTCTGCAATCTGACCCCATTTGTGCATGAATGCCAATCTCACTAAATTATCAGAAATATCAATATATGATAATAACAATACATAATAAAAGTGTGTTTCCAACACATCCTGATAGCCATCTCTCACTGTCTCCTGCTCAAAGCCTACTCTGCATGTGGAAAAGCTGAGACTAGACTTGCTCAAGGTCTCCAGCTCATGAGGGGATGGTATTTACCCTGTTTCCTGTCAAACCTAGAGCCCTGTCTCTGTCCTAGCAGTCCTGAAACGAGTGCTGTGTATCCAGGATCTCAGCAACCTGCTGCTGCTCCCAACTGCTCCTCTCCAGGACCACGACAGTCCTATAGCAGGGCCTGTCCCACCCTCAGAAAGGGAGAGAGACAGGGAAAAGGGACAGGGTGGAACCTGGCCATCGCATCCTCCTGCTGGGCAGGAGCCTGAGCGTGGTTCATGCGTGGGACTCTGTCCATGTCGGAGTCTCAAATGTCCTGATAACTGGGCAATGAGAAGGGCCAGAATAGTCAAGAAAGGACAGCATCCCTGACTGGCCACACCTGCTCTGACTCCTTCCCCATATCCTCCCCTGACCATGTCCCCTCTCTCCTACATGACAGACCTAAATCAACTACTTTTTATTAAAAAAAAAATCCATTAAGATCCACTTAAGGATTTGTTCTTAAAAAGATAACTGCCAAAAGGAAAAAAGAATAAAAAGCAAACCTCTGAAAGTTGTATAAAATATATGATTATCAGAAAATTAACAGAGCGCTCTATGCTGACATACAAATAGATCATGATTACGCACTCGAGGAGCAAATCGTAACTCCAACAGAAACATTCTAAGTTATACATTGTCCTTTCCTCCTAGATTGCAGACGACTTTTGTGAACTATGGGGAGGCCACAATGTACAGCCTGGAAACCTGCCCCAGCCCCTGGTTGAGGTCCCATTCCGTGTGGGGAAGGTAGTAGTCGTGGATGTAGAAGTAACTGTGACAATGACAATCATCACAAGCCTCATCTCTTTATTTCTCTTTTAAAATTTTAAGTGAATATGTCCTTAGCCAGGCATGGTGGCACACACCTGGGTAACCAGTAGCTTGGGAGGCTGAGACAGGAGGATCACAAGTTCAAGGCCAGCCTCAGCAACTAAGCAAGGCCCTAAGCAACTTAGTGAGTCACTGACCTTCCTCAATAAATTAAAACATAAAAAGAGCTAGGGATGTGACTCAGTGGTTAAGCACCCCTGGGTTCAATCCCTGGTACAAAAATGAAATAAAACAAATGAACATGTTCTTTTGGGAAACTATCAATAGAAAATATCTTCAATAGCTCCATTCCCTACCCGACTCTTTACTCAAGAGGTAGGCCCTGAGGTCTAGTTAGTCAACATTCCCTTTGACTTTCTCTTTCTCTAGGTTTACATCAACATATGTATGTGAATGGACATATTAATTTGCACATTACTTAGAATCTTTTCTGGAAATTTGCTTTTTCATCTAATAGTATGTCTGTATTTATTTCTCATTGGAACATATAGATCCACCTCATAATTTTTTAGGGCTCCCAAATGTGGATGCATACCATAGTTTCATTTGATCATTCCCCTAATGGTGAATTTTTAGGTTGTCCCCTTGCTTGATAAAAAGTTAGAATGGTTTTCTGATCATCCCAACAACCTTGGTGAGGTAGACAGGGTCCCGGAAAAATGAGGTGACCAAGGCTCATAGAGATAAAATAGCATATTCAAAGGCACAACCGTGAGTAATGGTGGAGTAGGGACTTGAAAACCTCACACTGCAACCTTTTCCAGAAAAGTCCTTTGGGAGGTAGTGGGGTCAATATTGTGGCTGCCACCATCCCAGGAGGTGACTGACCTCCCCCAAAATAGTCACTCTGATTTTCAGAAAGGTGAGGTCATGAACAGTTTTTGATGATACCCTCAATGACAGTTAGGGCAGGAATGGCCCTTAGAGATCACTAGATTCACACCTGTTAAGATAGAGCATAAAGGAGCTCAGAGAGGGACAATAAAGTTGCTCAGGATCACACAGAAAATTAGTCGCAGAGCAAGGACTAGAATCCAGAATATCTAGCTCACACTCATCTAGTTTCCATGTACTATTTCTTTGGAAATCCAGTGATTCAGAAGGAGTTGGAAACATTTGGGAAAATATCAGTTCAACCAATGATTCATAATTTTTAGTGTACTAGGAGATACCTAGGGAGCTTGATTAAAAACTGCCCATACTGTGTAGACAATCATTAATGGATGTTCAAGCCATTCAGGTAAAAAGTCAGCTGGGAATTTTATACAAGAAGAAGGCACAGATGCCACCTACCCCAAGTACTGAGCATAGATCCACTCAGCTCCTGTGTGGATGTGGGATAGTCAGACAGGGTGTCTCATCATGGGGCACAGTGAGGCGTACGGGGCACTGTTGTGTATATTGTTGCCAGAAAAATAAATTAAGGAGCTTCATCTGATTGAGTCACCGGATCTGGTATCAGTTTATAGGAAGCACAGGGGATAGAGAAACCAGATAAATGTCACGAGGAAGTCCTCAGCCGCAGGAGAAAGGAAAATGAACAGCTGCAGGAGAAAGGAAAAGCAGGATAGGAAGAATAGAGCAATTTTACAAACATTAGAAGAGTTTTAATAAAATGCAATGTATGGGGCCAGGGATGTAGTTCAGTGGTAGAGCAATTGCCTAGCATGTGTGAGACGCTGGGTTTGATCCCCAGCACTATGAAAAAAAAAATAAAAATAAAAATAAAACAGCCATAAAAGATATTTTGGAGAGAATTGTGATATCTAAAATAGGGACTATGTATTTGAAGATATTAAATTCATTTTCAGGATATCAGTCTTAAAGAAAATATGCTGAGGTGTGTAGGGTCAAAATTTTATGACATCTGCATATGACTTTCAAATGATTCTGAAAAAAAACCTCTGTGTGTGTGTGTGTGTGTGTGTGTGTGTATGTGTGTGTGTGCATGCACATACCTGCATGCAGATGAATATGTACACATATGAAAAGATTTGGGGCCAAAACTTAACAATTGATATATTTAGCTAACAAATATATGGATGTAATTATATGAACTTTTCCTGAGGGCTTGAAATTTTTCAAAACAGGAAAAATTGGGAAAAAAAATCTAAATCACCAAAATAATTGTTTCACCAAATAAACACTTTAAAAATAATTTTAGGCCAAGCACAGTGGTGCATGCCTGTAATCCCAGTGGCTCAGAAGGCCGAGGCAAGAGGATTGCAAATTCAAAACCAGCCTCAGCAACTTAGTGAGGCCCTAAACAACTTAGTGAGACAGGTATCAAAAAAAGGTGGGGGGGCGCTGGGGATGTGGCTCAGTGGTAGAACATCCCTGGGTTCAACCACCAGTTCCAAAATAAATAAATAATAACTTGAATGTTTGTTTTCTCACTCTATCTCCCTCTTTTTTCCCCCCAGGTACACTGTCAGCTTCTTATTGATCATCACCCAGCTGGGCTTCTGCAGTGTTTATTTTATGTTTATGGCAGACAATTTACAACAGGTGAAGAAGCCTCTTCTGGGCAAAGGGAGAGAAAAGCAGACCTTCTGCTGCTAGGGCTGCATTAACAAAAGCATGTCATGGGAGGAGACAGCTTCATTTCACTCCGGGATTAGATCACGACTGGGAATTCTTTCAGTCTTGAGAATCATATTCTAAAAAGATCATAAAGAAGCCAAAGCAACTTGAAAAAATTTTTAGCCTGAAAAATATGGGTAAAATTTACATTAGGTACCATCTCATGTTGTCGTGTAGAAAATGACTAACTGAAAATAAGGAAAACCAGTGGCTAACTTCCTGTTATTGCCTACCTTAGACAAATTGCAAGTCAATTTGTCAGCCTTTTGTGGAACAGAGGAAGCGTACCTAACAGCCCGAAAGAACTGTGGCAAGTCCTGTAGACGGACTCTGCAAGCAGATAGGCTTTGCTCAATATCCAGAGCTTCCTGACTTGTAGGGCTCTCTAAGGTTGAGGAGGATGTGCTTGTGTGATAAATGCTCTTTCTCTGGCTGCATGAAAGAAAGTCATTTGGTGGGGAAGAAGAGGTTGGGCTAGCTGACAAAGTACCCTTTAACCTTGAGGTTTCATGACTCTAAGGGTTCCTGGTTCATGTTGATGGATTTGGTAAATAAAAATACATGACACCCAGTAAAACTAGAATGCATTTTACACACACACACACACAAATACATAAAAAAATACATGACATTCAGTTAAACTAGAATTTTGGATAAGTAGGGATATATATATTTTATTTACATTTATATATGAACATATATGCAAATAATTATAATATATAAATAATTTATATAAAAATATAGATCTCACTGCTTATCTGAAATTCCAGTTTAACTGAGTGTCATGTATTTTTCATGTAGATATATATATATATATATATATATATATGTGTGTGTGTGTGTGTGTGTGTGTGTGTGTGTGTGTGTGTGTGTGTCTTATGCGATATTTGGAATGTATTTATACTAAAACATTATTTGTGATTTTCTGAAATTCCACTGGAGCTGGACATCCTGAACTTTGTCTTCAACTGCCATACCTTCCACTGTGTTCTCTTTCAGATAGTAGAAGAAGTCCATGTCACCTCCAACACCTGCCAGCCCAGGAAGTTCCTGGTGCTGACCCCCATCCTGGACATTCGTATCTACATGCTGACAATCCTGCCCTTCCTGATCATGTTGGTGTTTATCCGGAACCTCAAGGTGCTGTCTGTCTTCTCAACAATGGCCAACATCACCACCCTGGGGAGCATGATCCTGATCTTTGAGTATATCATCCAGGTCTGTGCCTGAAATCATGGAAGAAAGGTGTCAGGATCCAGGGCCTCTGAGACACCTGGGATGGGTTATTGTCATGGTGGGCAGGTGGAGGTGAGAAAGTTCCATCCTCTGCTCTGAGCATCCCCTGCCAAAGTGATATCCAGGAACATTTCTGCCCCACAAACTCTAAAAGCTGATTATCTCTGTTAGCAGCATCCTGTCCTCCTCAGTACCAGCATGAATAACATTGAATAACAATGAATCATTCAACAATTCATAGGTCCTTACTACCTTCTGTGATCCCAGGCATTGTGCAAGGAGCTGGGGACTCAGGGGTAAGTAAAAATAGGCAGATAGGGTGTCTCCTCTCATGGAAGTCACATTCATTCGGGGAGATTAACATTGATTAATAACCAACAAGAACTGTAATCGTGGTAGGTGACAAAGGATGCGTGGGTGATAAAGGAATTTGATCTACTTAGTACCATGTACTTTACCTATCTAACTTACTGGATTTCACAATACTACAGTTTTGGAAGTACTATCTTTATTCCATTTCCAGACGAGGAAACTGGCATTCAGAAAGCAGTTTTTCCACTACCTCCAATCAGTTTGCCTCTGGAGCTCTTGTGCTCTATCCTCATCACAGGTCCTGAAACTCCACCATCCCACCATTGCACTCATTTCTTTGAGTCTAGAGTCTTTGGCGTTGTCTCCTTTTCCTATTGATGCTATAACAAATGACCACAAGTCCAGGGGCTTAAAACATCACAAATTTATTTTACAGCTCTGGAGGTCTCCTGGGCTAAAATCAAGATGTCCATGAGTCTGCATCTTTGCTAGAGGGTAGGGGAGAATCCATTTCTTGTTTTTTTCTGTTTTTTTTGCCTGCATGCTTTGGCAAACAAGAAAAATCAAAGCTGGAAAATCAGACCGAGTCTTTCTCATGCTGCAGTCTGTCTCCTTTGATTCCCTCTTCCACTTTCTAAGACCCTTGTCCCATCCGGATAGTCCAGAGTAATCTTATTTTAAGATTAGATGATGAGGGCTGGGATTGTGGCTCAGTGGTAGAGCACTCGCCTAGCACAGGCGGGACCCAGGTTCTATCCTCAGCACCAAATAAAAATAAAGGCATTGTGTTGTGTCCATCTACACCATATATATATACTTAAAATAAAAGATTAGATAATGAACAGCCTTCATTCAATCTGAAAACTTAATTCTCCCTTGCCATGTGCCATCACAGAGCAACAGGTTCCTAAATATCTTTGGGGACTGACTGTTCTGCTCACCACAGAAGTCCATTAAAACAATCATTCCCCTAGACCCTCCATAGCTGCCCTGCTAGCCTGTGGACCACACAGCACTGAGAAAAGATGAGGAGAGGTGATAGAGGGCTGGGACACAGGAGACTGAGTCCTTATCTGAGCTGTCAGTAACTTGCAGAGAAGATTTGCATAATTCCCTTCTTCTCTCCATGTCCTGCCTTTTCCACAGGTAAAGATAAAATGGCTCCTCACAGTCAAAAGTTGGGAAAAACTCAAGTGTTCATTGAATGATGAATGAACAAAGAAAATGTGCTATATAAATATACATGATAGAATATTAGTTAGCCCTAAAAAGGAATGAGATTCTGAAAGATGCTACAACATGGATGGACCTCAAAGACATTGAGCTAAGTGAAATAAGCCAGACTACCAAAAGTCAAATACTATGTGATTCCACTTATATGAAGCAGCCATTATAATCAAATTGATAGAGAAAGAGAGTAGAATGTGGGTTACAGGAAGAGGGGTTAATGGGGAATTGCTATTTTAATAGATTCATGTGTTCAGTTTGGGCTGATGAAAAAGGTATGAGGTGGGGAGTAGTGAGGAATATATAACAACGCAAATGCACTTAATGCCACTGAGTTAAACACTTAATGGTTAAAATGGTAAATTTTGCTATGTGAATTCACCACAATAAAAATTAAATGAATGAATGAATGAATTAATAAATCATTTTTTTGCTTTGTCTGTGGTACTCTGTGACAAAGATATTTTACTCAAGTTAGAAAGTATCAGAGTAGACATTTTTATGATTGTAAATATTACAAGGTGGGCCACTAAGTATGTGATTCAAGCATTAAAAGATAAGAAGATGGACCGGGCTCTAGATATCTCATGAGTGCTCCTAACACTGATTATCTCTGTTGTGGTCAGGCATGACCCAGCTTCTACCAAGTGATGGTTTGGGATGACTTTGATACCATGGCAAGGCCCATGTCTTTCTTCTTCCTTTCAGGACATTCCAGATCCAAGCAACCTGCCCCTGATGGCAAACTGGAAGACCTTCTTGCTGTTCTTTGGTACTGCCATCTTCACATTTGAAGGCGTTGGTATGGTAAGACTGCTGGGTTTGAGTGAATGGTCCCTAATGTTCTTTAGGGTTGCCAGTTGCAATTCCATGTATCTAAATGAATAGCATTTTTTAAAAAAAGTGCAGAATAGTGATGCATTCAGGGTGTCTACTGCTCCATATACCACACTATGTCTTGAAGACTGAGAATTTCCTAATCAGAAAAGACGGAATTGACCTGATATCCCAGTGGCTTGGGAGGCTGAGGCTGGAGGATCACAAGTTCAAAGCCAGCCTCAGCAAAAGCAAAGCACTAAGCAACTCAGTGAGACCCTGTCTCTAAATAAAATACAAAATAGGGCTGGGGATGTGGCTCAGTGGTCAATTCCCCCTTAGTTCAATCTCCAGTACTCCTCATATCTCCCCAAAAGAGAAAAGATGGAATTGAGCATTCATGGCAATAGAAAATGAGAGAAAAATGAAAACAGTGTGGCCATGTGGAGAGGCCCCTTCCTGACTCTGGGCCCACCCAGAGAAGGACCTGAACCTACACCAAGTGCCAAATCTCTTTCTACCCTTTGTTTTCCAAACTCTTTTCACCTCCAGGTTCTGCCTCTCAAAAACCAGATGAAGAATCCACAGCATTTCCCCCTTGTTCTGTACGTGGGGATGTCCCTTGTCATCTTTCTCTATTCCTGCCTGGGAATCCTGGGCTACATGAAGTTTGGGTCAGACACCCAGGCCAGCATCACCCTCAACTTGCCCAACTGCTGGTACGTCCCCTGCTGGCCTCAGGTATAGGGAGAAGCATGGGATCTGCACCTTAGCAAGAGATGGGCATTCACTTGGGTTTTCTTTAGCAACAAATATTAACTGTTAATATTACTATTAATTGTAATAATCAGTAAGTTTGATGATCTAGGCACCATGCACCATCTCATTTAATTTCTTAAACCCCATGAGTTAGCATTATTATTATTAACTCCATTTAATAGATAAGGAATTTGATATTTGGAGAGGCTCTAAGTAATTTTCCTAGCTCGCATTATGAGAAGCTGAAGCTTGAATCTAATCTCTCTGACCCTAAAGTGCAAAGACTCTAGAACAGAAATGATCTAGGAATGTTAAAGAGACCAAAACAGAACAACAAAAAGTATAACTCAAAGTAAAGATTGAAGTCCCACAGATAGATTGCTACTCAGATCCCAAGTTTCAGATACAGGCCACACCACTATTACTGTGCCCCAGTTGGAACTTGGTCTGGAGTTCTTGTATTCAATCATTCATTCATCCAGAAAATATTCTGGAGGCTGGCACATAGTATGCCATGGTACGCAAACATTGCACGTTAGCTGTTATAGTGGCAGTATTGGATACATAGTGGCCAAGCAGTCAAGACTGCCAGTGTTTAAGAGCACATGTTCTAAAGGTGTCTAATTGACCTTGGGCAAGATACCTGATCTTTGACTTCCAATTCCTGTGCTCAGTAAAATGAGGATCATACTTATGCCTGTTTATATCAGTCAGGATAGAGTAAGTTTTGCTCCAATAATAATCTCAGTGGCTGAACACAATGCTTAATTGCATGCTCATGCTGCATGTACATTATGGGATGGCTAAGGCTCTTGCTGCTGGAACAGCCACTCTATAAAGTGTGGCTGGTTGCCATGGCAGAGAGCACAAGGAATCACACACTGTGCACCAAGCTGGCAAAGCTTCACCTGGAATGGCAGGTATCTCTCCTGCTCACACCGCCCCACTCTGGGTACTCCAAGGAGGCAGGGGTGTACCTGAAAGTCTTTAGTGAGCACCATAAATGACCATGACACTCTCACAGGGTGGTTTGGTTTGATACAGAAAATGCTTAGCCCATAGTAAGTCTCTGTGGAGTGTTCAGTCTTGTCTTGCTGTGCCCCACAGCTTTGGTATCCCTGAGATAAGTAGGGTGATAGGGAATCAATTCCCCATAAAGCCAGGGTAGTAAACTGAAGAAAAGGCCACCAGCCCCACTGACCTCTCTGAGTTGTGATAATGACTAGATGATATAATCAATGTGGGATTTACTTGACATTGTGCTTTATGTTATGGAAGTAAGATATCCTGTACTTGGGAGACTGAGACAGAAGGATCACAAGTTTGGGGACAGCCTGGAACTTAGTGATACCCTGGCTAAAAATTAAAAAAAAAATTTTTTTAAAGATCAGGTGTGTAGCTCAGTGATAGAAATTTTATCAAGCATGTGTGAGGCCCTGGGTTCAATCCCCAATAATGGGGGGCAAGGGGAGAAGAAATTCTAATAACCATGTAGGCGAGACTCTTTCCTTCCGAGGACCACAGCTAAACATGGGCTTTGACCTCCACCAAGGCTTAGTGCCTGTAGTGTGATCCTGGCTGATTTTCATGTTTTCCCAGGGAGCCTTAAACACATTTCCCTTTCCAATAGGAGAAACACCAACGACTCAAGAAAAAAATGGGCAGAGGGTATGAAAAAAAAAAGCATAAGAAATGACCATTTTATATTTGAAATGATGCTCAAAGCAGATAATAGAAATGTCAGTGAAACAAGACACACACACTCACAATGTTATAGACTGTCATGTACTCACACACACTTTTGACAAGCTGGGACTTCAACACAGTAGGGCAAGTGGACACTCTTACCCATCATCCTTATTGGTGGAATTACATATTATGTTCATGTAGAAAAGCAAACAAATATATTTTTGGCAGCATTATGGCAAAAGGACCATTATTCTCAAAAGAATGATTCAAATATTTATTAATTAGTGACTAGTTTTAAAAAGTATTATATCCGGCAATCAGGATGCCAAATAGTTGTTAAATGGAAGGGCCAGATCTATGTGTATCGACAGGAAGCAATCTCCAAGAAATATTTGGTAATGAAAAAGTAAGGAGATCCACTGCACGCAGAGAAATGTGTGCAGCATGTTCCTCTGTGGGTGGGTGTGAGGCCCCACATGGTGTGGAAGGTTATATGTACGCAGAGTATTTCTGGGAAGCACAAGACGATTCTGAACGGTTGCCTAAGGAAAGGGGCACTGGAGACTGGGAATCAAGGGCAGGGAGGCTTTTCACTGTAGGACTGTTGTACTTGAATTTTACTCTATGCAGACTAGGTTTTAAATAATTAAAAGGAGGGGTTTCCTGGGTTGTGGGCTTGTTGCCTCGTCATCTCCAGGAATGTGCACTTTTTAAATATTTATTTTTTTAGTTGTAGTTGGACACAATATCTTTATTTTATTTATTTTATGCGGTGCTGAGGATTGAACTCAAGGCCTCGCACATGCTAGGTGAGCGCTCTACCTCTGAGCCACAACCCCAGCCCAGGAATGTGTACTTTTAATGAGCTTGCCAGGAGGGTCCTGACAGCCAGTCTGACCCAAGTCACTGGATATTAGCCAATTTTGTAACTCAATGACAGGTACCAGTTTCTGAACAGTGAGTGAGTCCCAAACAGCCCTTCCTGGGGGCCGAATTGCACTTCACATCCTCTTGATGATTGTCTGCAGGTTGTACCAGTCGGTCAAGCTGATGTACTCCGTGGGCATCTTCTTCACCTACGCCCTCCAGTTCCACGTCCCAGCTGAGATCATCATCCCGTTTGCCGTCTCTCAGGTGCCAGAGAACTGGGCACTGTTTGTAGACCTGTCTGTCCGCACAGCCTTGGTCTGTCTCACCTGTGAGTAGGATGAAAAGCACTAGGACAAGGAGCCACTCGGGTGCCTACCCCACCGTCGCTGGCTCTGCCACTTGCTTTCTTTGTGACCTAGGGCAAGATATTTAATCTCCCTGAGTCTCAACTTTTCCACCTGAAAAAAATGGGCTTAAAAGAACTATCACATAGTGCCACAGCCCGGCAAAATAACTGGGGGGTGACGAACAACTTGTGTACCTTGATACAGCAGGAGTGGAAGCCATTTATTGTAGGACAACAGAGGTATTTATACATTCCACACAGCTTATCTAATTAACATAAACTAGATACAGCAGTCAACCAATCAGGAATCTTCACATTTAATGGCTCACTGACATTACTTCACAAACCTCTCCCTCTGGCATTTTGCCAGGCGCCATCCTGACTTGTTTACGGACTCTAACAACATAGTAAATATTACCATAATCTCTACTGACTACCTATGGAAAATATAAGCTGATTTTATGGAGGAAAGAAGTATCATTTATTCACCCGCTCTCCTATGTGCCTGGTACTGACCTGCTTGGTTTGAGGTGTTTAGAGTTCCCAGTCTGTACCCAGAGTCAGAAACCTGGATATGTGTTGTTCTGACATTGTTCCCAATCTCAGGAGAGAAGATAGAGTTCAGGCAACTCTGGATCAGGGAAATTACAGGTAGAGACATGGTCTTCTGATGACATGTACTGCTTCTAGCATACACTAAATGGCCATTTTTTCCTTTTTTATTCATCCATCCGTCATTCATTCATTCAAGTATTGTTTGTTAAGCACCTCCTATATGCCTGACATTGTGCTGGACACTAGGGACTAAATCACTAATAATGGGACTAGGGATTTAGCTTAGCATATACTCATCATCACCATCATAAAGAATAGTGAGGATGTAGCTCCAGCTCTCATAGGGTTTACAAGATGAACTGCAGCTATCTGCAAGGAAATAATGGCAACACTTTGTGGTGAATGTTAAGATGGCACAAGATGAAGCACCTGCATGACAGTTAAAACTAAGTAACAGACACCCTGTATACTTAACAGGATCCTGTTCCTCACCCTGGGCAGTTCAGGGGATCAGTCCTCTCCAGTGGAGATATACTGGCTAAGAGATATGCTAGGAGAGAGGAGGTAGATCACATATAGGGAGTAGGCTGTGCACAAACCCAAGGTCAGTATTTGCCTGTGGCCCACTGGAGAACTAAAAGCTGTTGGGCACAATCAGAGAGTAGGTCCAAACATATGGAAGGACCCAAATCCTGAACTCACAGCTAAATCAGTGCTGAGGAGTTTTGGCAACAGGGAGCCCTGGGAGGGCTCTGAGGAGTGGGTTGCTTTGACCAGAGCTAAGCCTCTTGAAGCATGGCTCCTGTTCACCTTGCAGTGTAGCTCTCCTTGAACACATCTCTTCTGTCCCCTTCAGGGTGAGCTCTCCTGGGGAAAGATGCTGATTTTTCTCTGTACCTCCACTGGTAATGAGCTTATCATGCATCTGATGAAGAAAAACTATGGATAGGGAGCACACTATAAAGAGGTGATGGGCTTCCAAGAATGAGACCCTGAGTCCCTCTTATGCTCAATATGTTGGAGCAATTTCAGAAAAAGGTGATGGTTTTCTTAAAGGTCCAGCAAGCTGAGTCTAGAAGTTCAGATCAATGGTAGAGTGCTTGCCTAGCACATGCAAAACCCTGGGTTCCATCTCCAGCACCAGGAAAAAGAAATATACAGCAAGCTTAGATGCTTTCCAAAACAATTTTTCTCTAATTTGTTCATAGATAAATTATATGGGCATATGAAATTAAATCATATAAATTGCATATTCCCTCATTCAAATATTATCAAAATTGGACTCTGTTGGCAAATCCATGATATGCATTTATTGTATGTATAGGAGATGGAGATTTAAGAATGTTTATAGAAGAAGAGGGATGGAGAATGGGCAGCTAATGCTGTCTTCATGTTTTATGTTCTGCTTAATTATCAGAATCCTTTTATGAATGGGGAAATAAGTGGTTGAGATTTGTATACAATAGAACCATCTTTCTTTTTTAATCCATCCTTGGTTCTATACAGAAGTTGCATGATGTAGATGGTACAATTTGTTTCAGTGTTTAGATAAGAGTCAAACTCTTATGAGCACCTACTGTGTGCCAAGTAGGCAGCATAGTAGAGTAGAAAGAACTTTATTTTTTTGTTGTTGTTGTTTGTAGATTTTTATTTTTTTAAATTGATAGATAAAAAACTATGTGTGTTTATGGTATCTAACATATTTTGATAGATGCATACACTGTGGTATAACTGAACTAAGGTAATTAACATACCTACTAGCTCAAATATTTATCATTATTTTAGTGAAAATATTTAAACAGTACTATCTAGTCAATTTTCAAGTATACAATACATTGTTATTAGCTACAGTCACCACGTCATAAACAGATCTTTTGAACTTGATCCTCCTTTCTAACTGCAATTTGTCCTGTGTCTTTAGGTCAACACCTCTCCAGTTCTCACACCCCTACCCTCTATCATCTTATTCTGTCTTTGTATGAGCTTAATTTGATAGATTCCATCTATAAATCAGAATAGGGATGTGTCTTTCTGTGCTGGGCTTATTTCATTTCACATACTGTTTCCCAGGTTCATCCATGTTGTTACAAATGACAGGAGTTTCTTTTTTATTTTTAAGGTTGAATAGTATTTTTCTGTGTATATATGCAATATTTTCTTTATTCCATGGCATGGTTATTGTGATAAACATTGCAATGAACATGATAGTTCAGATATTCCTTTGACATATTGATTTCAATTACTCTTATATATGCCAAGAATTGACATTGTGGGGTTATATAATTATATCTTTATATTTATAAAAATTTATACTTTTATATTTGTATAATTATAAAACACTTTAAATTCTCTTAAAGAAACTTGGTATTGAGTTACCTAGTGACTATTCTAATTTGCAACAGTACATAGAAATTCCCTTTTCTCCACCTCTACACCAACACTGGTTATCTGCTGTTTTTTCAACAATGGCCACCCTAACCAATGTGAGGTGATATCTCATTGTGGTGTTTTTTGTTTGTTTGTTTGTTTTATTGGTTGTTCAAAACATTACAAAGCTCTTGACATATCATATTTCACACTTTGATTCAAGTGGGTTATGAACTCCCATTTTTACCCCAAATACAGATTGCAGAATCACATCGGTTACACATCCACATTTTTACATAATGCCTTATTAGTGACTGTTGTTTTTTATTGGTTCTGCATCCTGGTAATTGTTGCTTGTATTTTTGTTAAGTGCCATTCTGATTGGAATGAGATGAAATCTCAGTATAGTTTTAATTTAATTTCTCTAATTGCTAGATTTCTCTAATTATTGACCATTCTTATGTCTTCTTTAGACTAGTGTTCATTTAGTTCCTTTGCCCATTTATTGACTGAATTATTTGGGGATTTTTTTGGTGTTATTATTTTTTGAGTTCTTTGTGAATCCTGATTATTAATATCCTACTGAGGGGCAGGTAGCAAAGATTTTTCTCCCATTCTGTGGGCTCTCTCTTCACATTCTTATTTCCTTCACTGTGAAGAAGGCTTCTAATTTGATACCGTCCCATTTATTGACTTTTAATTTTGTTTCTGGCCCTTTAGGAATCTTGTTAAGGAAGTCAGTTCCTAAGCCGACATGTTGGATTTGGGCCTGCATTTTCTCCCAGCAGGTACAGGGTTTCTGGTCTAATTCCTAGGTCTTTGGTCTATTGTGAGTTGAGTTTTGTGCAGGGTGAGAGATAGGGGTTAATTTTCTTTTTACTACATATGGATTTCCAGTTTTCCCAGCGCCATTTTGTTGAAGAGGACTATAGCTCTGAAGTATAATTTGAAGTTCAGTATTATAATGCTTTCTGCTTTGCTTTTCTCACTAAGGATTGCTTTGGCTATTCTGGGTCTCTTATTTTTCCAAATGAATTTCATGACTGCTTATTCTATTTCTGTAAATAATGTCATTGGAATTTTGATGGGAATTGCATTTAATCTGTATTTTGCTTTTGGTGGTATGGTCAATTTGGCAATATTAATTCTGTATATCCAAGAACATGGATGGTATTTCCAGCTTCTAAGGTCTTCTTCAATTTTGTTCTTTAATATTCTAACATTTCATTGTGGAGGTCCTTTTTTTGTTAGATTGATTCCCAAGTTGTTGTTGTTGGTTGTTGTTTTTTTGTTTTGTTTTGTTTCAGGGTATTGTGAATGGAATAGTTTTCCTATTTTCTTCCTCATCAGATTCATCATTGGATTATAGTGTTGTAGGGATAGACGAGGAAAGGCACTGAAGATAGCAGGAAACAGTTTTATTTGGCTGCAGCCAGGTTCAGAGGGCACAGCTTTTGCTGTAATCAATCAATCCCCTGAACCCCAAGTTCAGGTAGTTTCAGGGTATTATACCTAGCATGTAAGGAGGGGATTAGAAGTTCACATAAAAGCAGCTTTTTCTTTCACTGTTCTGGGCAAGTTAACCCTTCAATGACAGCACCTGAGAAAGGGGGACCTTCTTCTCCCGTTTCTTTCCTCCCCCTGCCAGCTGTTACCATGGAGCCCAATAGGTAACTTATCTTAAAAATGTAGACATCTCTGTGAAGCCCAGCTCAAGGCCAGAGGCCTTGTTTGCACATTTCTACAAACTACTGTACTGGATACATTTGTGAAAAACTAGTAACGGGGTGTCCAGAACCTGGAGTGCTGATTTCTTCCCGGCCATGGCCAAGTAAGGTAGGGCAACATGAAAATGGGAATTATCTACATTGAACTCTTTTGCAGAGACTCTTTTGCCGACAGTCCCAAAATTAGCCATGGTAAAGATTTCTAGAGAAGCCCAGTTAGGACTGTTCTGTGGAGAAAGGGGGTGCCACTACAATAGGAAAATTATTGTTATATGGGTATTGATTTTGTATCCTTCTACTTTTCTGAATTCATTTATGATCTAGCTCTCTAAGTCTTCGGGTAGAGTTTTTTTTGGGGTCCTCTAAATATGGGATCATGTCGCTGCCAAGCAGAGGTAATTTGAGCTCTTCCTTTCCTAGTCATATCCCTTTAATTTTCTCCTCTCACCTAATTGTTCTGGCTGGAGCTTCAAGGATTATGTTGGATAGGGGTGGTAAAAATGGGCATTCTTGTCAATTACTGATTTTAGAGAAATTCTTTTCGTTTTTCTCCACTCAGAATAATGTTGGCCTTGGGTTTATCCTATATAGCCTTTACAATGTCAAGGTAAGTTCCTTTTAAACGTGAATGCCTGCTGTATTTTGTCGAATGCCTTTTCTGCATCTATTGACATACTCATGTGATTCTTGTCCTTAATTTTGTTTAAGTGGTGAATTACATTTATTTATTTGCATATTTGAATGAACTTTGCATTCCTGGAATGAAACCCACTTGACTATGGTGCACTAACTTTTAATGTGCTTTTGTATACAGCTTGCCAATATTTTATGGAGAATTTTTGCATCTATGTTCATCAAGGATATTGGTCTGAAGTTTTATTTCTGGATGTGTCTTTGTATTGTTTTGGTATCAGGGTGATACTGGTGTCATAGAATGAGTTTGGCAGTGTTCTGTCCTTTTCTGTTTCTTGAAATAACTTGAGGAAGGTTGGTATTAGTTTTTTAAAGTTCTGGTAAAACTCTGGTAGAATCCATCCAGTACTGGGCTTTTCTTTTTTTTTTTTGAAGGCTTTTGATGGCTGCTTCAAGTTTATTACTTGATGTTGATCTATTTAAATTTTCTATATCTTCCTGGTTCAACTTGGGTAAGTCAGATATCTCTAGGAATTTGTTCATATCCAAGATTTTCTAGTTTGTTGCAGTATAAATTTTTAAAATAGTCCCTGAAAACCCTCTGGATTTCAATAGTATCTACGGTGATATTTGTTTTTTATCTTGGATTTTGATGATTTGAGTTTTTTTCCCCTCTATAAAGGGTTTAGGTGAGGCATCCTGTGGATTCTCATCTTTGCTCTGTGTGATCTTAAGCAAGCCCTGTTCCTTTTAGAGCTTTGGATCTCCCCAACTCTATAATGAAGGAGGTTATCATAGCTAATTGGTAGAGTAAATCTCCAATAAAGATTATGTATAAAAAATCCAATAGATAATATAGAAAAGGGGCATGTGTGTCCGCAGTGAAGATAGGAGAGGGAGTCAGGAGTTGTGGTGCCTGACCTGTGTGTAAGCCACAGTGGGCTCCTGCTCACCTCTCCAGACAGCTTCTCACTCATCTGTGAAGCTCTTGGGCTCCAAAGCAATGGTTTGGTTTTGAGCTTCTGGCAGGAAACTTTAATGATTCTAAATTTTTCTTCTTGCTGCAGGTGTCTCAGCCATCCTCATCCCCCGCTTGGACCTGGTCATCTCCCTAGTGGGCTCTGTGTGCAGCAGTGCCCTGGCCCTCATCATCCCACCCCTCCTGGAGATCATCACCTTTTACTCTGAGGACATAAGTTGTGCCACCATTGCAAAGGACATCATGATCAGCATCCTGGGCTTTTTGGGGTGTATTTTTGGAACATACCAAGCCTTCTATGAGTTGACCCAACCCATTAACCATTCCATGGCCAACTCTACAGGTGTCTATATGCATCATTTTTTATTTTTATTCTAATAGCTTCCCCTTCCTCCTACCCCCATTTTGATTTCCATGCAGATGTTATATATATTCATCAAACCCCAACATCTCTATATTAATTAGTGGCTTCTTTATCTTTCCAAGAGAAATGTAGATATCACAGGTTAGTATTGATACCTCTCAGGCTACCCCTTTTTTGATTTTGGATTTCTTTGGCAATATTTTGTACCTCAGAACCAATATCACATTCAGACATTCATATTATTAACCTCATTTGATGGAAACAGAGATAACATTCACTTCTGATAAGCCTGGAAACAAGAGACCAAGCTTAAATGCAAAAGAAAGTTTTTTTCTCTATACCATTGAAACTTCCCTAGAAACATCAAATTTTTAAAAGTATATATCTGTAGAAGGGAATTTTCTATTTAAATATTCCAAGTGAAAGAGTGACAGAATAACAATAGAACTTAGCCATAATTTTTTCACTGATTTCTTTATTTCTTTTTTAATTTTTTTTTTAAATTGGGGATTGAACCCAGGGGCACTTAACCACTGTGCCACATCCCCAGGCTTTTTAATTCTTTAATTTGAGACAGGGTCTCAACAAGTTGCTTAAGACCTCAATAAATTGCTGAGGCTGGCTTTGAACTTGTGATCCTCCTGCCTCAGCCTCCTGAGTCAATGGGATTACAGGTGTGCACGCTGCCCCTGGCTCTGCCACTGATTTCCTATGGGACCTTGGGCAAGTTCCTCCCCTTCTCTTAGTCTGTGAAATGAAGGGTTATACTAATTGACTGTTGAGGGCTCTTTCAACTTTGACCTTCTAAAAGTAAAAAGGGAAATTTATAGTTTATTATTCATCCTCCAATCACATGTGTGACAATTGTTTCCCATGAGCTAATGAACTCATGGGAGATATGAGTAGGTTAAGAGATGAAAACATATTTTGTTACATATTATTTTATTTACATATAAATAAAACATATTTCATTCCACTTCTGTCTTTCAGCAGAACTTACATTCCTGTTAATACCTCAAAGGTGTGGTTTTCCCTAACTAGGAATCCTCTTCCTTCCTTCCATTTTCTTTCTCTGACCTCTTAAAGCCACTTAGTGCTCACTTAGGCTGATGGGGATGAGCAGTTTCCATAGAGAAAAGGAGGTTCATGTACTGGAGACTTGAACCCCAGAATGGCATATTGGGAGGTTGTGGGACCTTTAAGAGGAGGGGTCTCATGGGAGATACTTAGGTCAAAGAGAGTGTTGCCCTTGGAAGGGAATACTGGTTTCCTGGAGTGAGTTCTCACAAGAGGAAGTGGTTATCAAAGCCTGATTACTACCCTTGTATCACTCTCTGACATCTTGTTTCAAGATATAATCCCTTCCTCCAACATGTTCTCCTGCCCTTGCCATTCATCCCAAGGTTACGTGGTCAAAAGGGAGAACAGAACCTGTGCCATGTGGTTAGGACTTTCAGAATCCAAAACTTTGAGCTAAATAGTCCTCTTTACTTTATAAAGTTAACTGGTCTCAGGTATTATTACAGCATCAAAAAGCTGACCAGTAATGGGGAAAGAGTGAATGGTTTCCCTGAAAGATCAGAAACAAGACAAGGATGACCAGTCTTAGCACTTCTGTTCAAGATTGCATCAGACATTAGAGACAGTGAAATCAGACAAGAAACATGAGGTAAAAGGTGTCCATATTGAAAAGGAAAAATTAAAACTCTATTTGATGACATGGTCATTCATGTAGAAAATTCAGTGTAATCTATACAAAAGTACATCCAGTTTATAAAGTTTCAGTATAGGAGATCCATATACAAAATCCAATTTGCACTTCTGCATACTAGCTGAGAATAATTAGAGACTAGAAATTTCAAATTTGATTTATAATAGCATCAAAACATGCAATAAATGAGTATAAATCTGATGAAAAATATGAATGACATATATGCTGAAGTATATATGGGCATACCTTGAAGGCATTGCAGATTTGGGTCTAGATCACCACAATAAAGGAAATATCACAATAAAGCAAATCACATGAATGCTTTAATTTTCCAGTGCACATAAAAATCATATTTACACTATACTATAGCTTATTAGGTGTGCAATAGCATTACATCTAAAAAAACAATGTGTATGCCTTAAATTTAAAATATTTTCTTGCTAAAAATCGTAACAGTATTCTGAGCCTTCAACAGTTAGTCTTTTTTGCTATTGGAGAGTGTTGCCTTGATGTTGATGGCAGCTGACAGCTTAGGGGGTTATTTGCTGAAGGCTGAGATGGCTGTGGTAACTTCCTAAATAAGACAATAATGAAGTTTGCTGTGTAGATTGACTCTTTTATAAAATGCTGTTTGCTGGCATTTTTACCCAGAGTCAAAACTGGAATTTAATCCTCTGAAACTCTGTTGATGCTTTATCAACCAAGTTCATGTAATAGTCACAATCTTTTATTGGCACTTCAACTATGTTGAGGGCATCTTTACCAATAGCAGATTCTATCTCAAGAAACCTTTCTTTGCTTATCTACAAAAAGCACCTCTTCATCTGCTAAAGTTTTATCTTGAGATTGCAATTCAGTCACATTTTCAGGCTTCACTTTTAATTTTCTTGCTATTTCCACCACATCTTCAGTTTCTTCCTCCAGCAAAGTCTTAAATACCTCAAAACCATCTGTGAGAGTTAGAATCAACTTCTCTCAAATTCCTGTTAACATTAATACTTTTACCTTCTCCCTTGAATCAAAGATGTTATTAATGACATCTAGAATTATGAGTTCTTTCCAGAAGATTTCAAATTTACTTTGTCCAGATCTATCAGAGGAATCATTATCTATAGCAACTGTAGTCTTACAGAACATAATTCTTAAATAATAAGACTTGAGTGTACTTCTGAAATCCTACCTATTTAGGAGGCCAAGGCAGAGGTATCACAAGTTCAAGATTATCCTGGGAAACTTATCAAGCCCTTGTCTCAGAATTTTAAAAACAGGCTGGGGATAAAGCTCAGTGGTAGAGTATTTGCCTAGCATGTACAAGGCCCTGGGCTCAAATCCCAAGTATCACAAGAGAAAAATAAAATACTTGAATGTCCAAATTACTCCTTATCCACAGGCTGCAGAATGGATGTTAGCAAGCATGAAAAAAAAAAAAAGAATCTCACTATACATCTTCATCAATGCTCTTGGGTGACCAAACACATTGTCAATGTTTTAAGTATTTTGCAAGGGACCTTATATTATCTAAGTGATAGGTATCAACATGAAGCTTAAAATACTCAGAAAGCTGTGCTGTAAAAATACACTGTCCCTCAGGCTTTCTTGCTCCATTTTTAGAGCACAGCAGAGTCGATTTAGTATGATTCTTAAAAGCCCTAGGATTTTTAGAGTGAAGATGAGCCCTGGCTTTGGCTTTCAGTCATCAGCTAACTACACTAGCCCCTACAAGACAGGCCTGTCCTTTGAAGCTTTGAAGCCAGACATTGACCTCTGTCTAGCTTTGAAAAATCCATCTTTTTCCAAATAAGGCAACTGTTTTATCTACACTGAAAATCTGCTGTTGAAGCTACCTCCTTCGCAATCCCAGCTAGATCTTCTGGATAACCTGCAGTGGCTTCTATACCGGCACTTGCTGCTTCATCTTGCATCATATGCATGTATTACAGAAAGAGTTGGCTGATAATCTCAGAGTTTACAATGTTTAAAGTTTGTTTAATCTTGAAGAGTGCACAAAATGAATCTTCTAAACTTGGAAGGCTTAGAAAATTTCATTCAATAGTGGAGATATTCTGAACTATCTTAGTTATTTTTATGGAAAGATAACCTGTTTCTAAATAAAAAATTCCTTAAATACAACAATTCACCCTTCCTGTTTTTTGAAAAGTGTTGTGCTGCTCAAAAGTCCCCATTAGCAATGAAGCTTACATCTTAATTTTAGCACTAGATTATCAAAAGGTATTTATCCTACTTTAAGCCTCTTTGGAATTAAAGCTAAAACTTTGCACATAAAATAGGCCTTTGAGTTCTTCACACTTCCTCTCTTCTAACATTTTTGACATACAGGTAATAAAAAGCCTCTGCATTAATAAGATTTGTGGAAAATAAGATGAAAGTTAGATTATATCAGTTGAGAACAGAAATGAAAATTAATGCCTAGCATGAGGTCAGTTTGAACTTATCTTAGCATGAGAAAATTGTAGATGGTTCTTTCCCCATAAAAGATGGGGTGCACTGAAGCAGATGGCTTCCATACCTGAGGAAGAGTTTGTAATGCCTCTTCAGTTCCCTTGGGGCTGCATATGCCAGCAAATAATACAATTATTTACAGCTGGCATCTGTTCTGATTGGCCAAAGCCCATAAAATAGTAATTATTAGGTTATTAAATGTCTTGCTGATCATTCCAGGATTTCAAGAATGACTGAAGAGATAGGGGCCCATAAATAGAGTGAGCATATTCTTAAGAAATTTTACTTTCTCTATTCATCTTATTTGAAGGAAAATATGTCTCTTAATCAAACATGTCAAACATCACATTTCTTTAGTCCCCCAACAAGAAATTATTTCAAAAAATGGGAAAAGAATGGATGCATTGAAGATTAATGTGTGTGGTGCTTCTCATGAACAGTGAGAAAATATTAAACTTCTTTAATCAGAAGTGTGCTTTGAGTCAATATTGTTGTGGGTTATTAAAAAGCCAAATTGATATTCAAGTCAATCTTGAAGTTACACATAGTGAGACTGCAGATGAACAATATAATTTTATGTTTTCTGTTATAATTCTTAATATAATTACTCCAAAAGAAACCAATGCAGTGTGGTCTTTTCATCTCCAGGGTACTGGATTTTGAGAGGTTAACGGATCTGTTTGTTTACTTTCACCTTTCCTTTTCACTATATTTAATACTTTTGTTCAGGATAATGTAAATTGTTCAGAAAATTGTTTTTTTTTTCAGTGCCTGCTGGAATGTTACATAATTTTTTTTTTTTAGCCATCATTGCCAGAATTCCTATCTTCATCCCAGTGCCGGGGAAGACAAAGATAAAACCAAACTACAGCTTCTTCGATAGCTATCACAACAAACTCTATAAATTGATGCATCAATGA